TTCTATTCCATATGGTTAATTTCTTGTTAAAGAATATTCTATCAATGGGTTAATATTGCAGCGTACTTAATATCTGACTTTTTTTACATATTTCTAAGAAAAATTGAGAATTTAGTGCTTAATTCTATTAAAAAATGTTATGTTTTGTGTGGTTGGCAATAAGTTATTTATTTGACACTTAATTCATGTTAGCGCAGATTTTAACAACTAGAGTGTTTAATAAACGAGCTTGTGAAAAATGTATCAACTTGTTGCACACTATACGTTTTCTACGACCAGGACGGCAGAGTTACAGCATCAACGGTTTCACACAAACCGAATTTTAAATTTGATTTCGAGAATCGTACACAAATTTAATCGACGATTTTTTTTCTCGATTCGATTGAGTGACACTTTATAAATTTCAGAATACGGAACATTGGAGTTTATCATAATAGGGGCGGGAGCAGCAGGATCTGTTTTGGCTAACAGACTAACAATGAACTGTTTTACTATTAGAAGCTGGTGGGAACGATAACGCGTTCAGTTTTTAACTCTGGGAAGAGTTACGAAATCCAGGGTGGTCTCACAACGATACGCTTCCTTATTTCAAAAAGTCCGAGAAGGCCCTTTTTACTCCTAGAAAAAAAGATTCTCGTGGCGATAACGGGTACCTTTATGTCGATATTCCACCTTCAACTCCAGGGTTTGTAAGTATTCATTACAATACGTAATGAATGCTTTCTTATGAGTGATTTTTTTTAATCAAATTATTAGTTTGATTTATATTTTATTTTCGTAGGATGCAATTATTATATTACTAAGTAGATAACACATTAGATAACCTCATGGTATTTTAAAAATGTTGTAAATATGTTATTATCGCCTTGTTTTATCCATATTTACTATAAATTTCTGTGATGTGACGGTCTAGGAGAAACAAAAAGAAATTATAAAAGCAATATAGCTTTTCTATCATCAAAGCTGTCTACTGCACACTTTGTCCAAACAAACAAAAATTATAATGCTCTTCCCAAAAGTGAACGGTTTCACATTTTTTAAAGTTACGACAGGCTTTTCCTACAAATTATAGGAAAACAGCTATTGAAAATAACCTAGGCACATTGTTTTCGTTTTCGATGCTAGAACAATTGTAAACTAATATAAAATTCTATAAAATAATACGAATTCTAATAGAGAACTCAACAAATTATAGTTTTTGAAAAAAAAAGCAGTGAATTGGCTTATTTTTTGAATCCTTACTTCCTAATGACCATTTCAATTTTACTGGCTTAGCTGAGAAGAAAAAAAAGGCGGGTATATGAAATTACTATACGGAATGAAACGGAATATTACATTATAAACGACTATAGTGCGGAATATATTTCGGGAGTCAGTAAAACTCAGTTTACGTTCATACAAAAAAATAAAAGGTGTAGCGCCTCTAGAGCATTTCTAGATAACATTCAGCACAGGAAAAATCTCGAACTGAGTCTCAACAGCTTCGTTACGAAACTATCGATCGTCAATAAAACGGCACATGGGGTGGAGTTCGTTCAAAATGCCAAACTCTACACCGCGAAAGCAAAAAAAGAAAAGATCGCATCAGGTGGCGCAGTAAACTTTCCTCAAATTTTAATGTTGTCCAGCATAGGATCGAGGCAACACCTGGACGATTTAAAAATTCCTATGATCCAGGATTTGCCAATTGAACAAAATTCGCAGGACCCCTTGTATACAATGTTTTTATTTTAGGTAAATTTGGCATTGCGATTGCCATGACATGATTGGATGGGTGTTTTGTAGATCGAACAATACATTTTACAAGCTTACCCTAAAAGAAAAATAAAAATTTTATTTGAAAAATTAGAGACCGGTTTACCGGCCCTCTAGACACTGTGGTCTTCATTTATTTTGAAAATTATTCGCGAGAGCATACGTGGCATCGTGTTCGGATTTTCCACCGCAACAGGAAACGAACTGACCTCTACCTGGAGGTTAGTGAACGAGTGAACGAGTTACTGTATATATTAATAAAGTTTTGGTTTGTCAATTCTGACGGTCATGTCAGTGAATTTATTCGTGTTGTTTTGCGAAAATGTACCTAAAAGCTAAAGGTCGTAGAAAAAGTATAGTATGTAACAGGTTCGGTAAACTTTTTAACTCACTCGTTTATTAAAAACTCGCTCCGCTCGTGTCAAATAAACTCGTGAGTCAAATGCCGTTTACCGCACTTGTTGCATAATATACAATTTTCTACTCCCGCCCGAACGACTTCTGACATTTCCGCATGGGTTTGGGAGCACTCGGATGATTTCGGAGATATTTCCCACGCCTTGAATTTGACGTTTGTCAATTCTGACGGCCATGTCAGTGAATGTGTGGTCTGGCGAAAATGTACCCAAAAACTACGTTTGGTAAACTTTTCACTTAAATTCACAATTAATTCATAAATTCACATTAAATTATTAATATTATTTAATTATTAATCATTAAATAAATTATAAAATGCCGTTCACCGCACTTGTTGCATAATATACTATAATATACAAATTAGCATCTTAGTTTTAATTACTGACGCTGGTTCTGCGTGCTTTCAAAGCGCAAAAATATTCTTTCTGTTTGATAATGGTCATATAAATCTTAAATCGCTACAGCTTAAGATATTCCTCAAAAAATTTTAAGGGCAAAATATTATACGGTATTTACACGGTACATACCGCAATAGGACGAGAAAAATTATTTTATATCGAGGTGGTTTTGGCTAGTTTCAACTTCAGATATTGCTGGTAGATCGCCAATGTTGTTTGTTTCTTACCACCAGTTTGTGTTCTTCGATTGGGGCTGATATTTTTGTTTGCCCCGTTAATATTTTAGACACTCACTATAGCGGATTAAAAGAAATTACTAATTTTTCCATATCAAACCTCAAATGTAATTTTCGATCTTCTTATAGAAACTAAAGATCTAGGCGTGCATTTAGATCAAAAACTTACGTTCGTGAATCACATAGCGAGAATTGTTATAGTTTATGTTGATTATGGTTTTATTGTGCGTAATTTTAAATCTGAGAAACATATGTTCGAGGTCTAGTCCATGTTAGCTTTATCAACCTCAATTTCGATTGCGAACTCTCTTAATTGTATACCAAATATATATATGGATGTTGGACAATGTGTTATTATTATTATTACTAATTTTAATTTATTTATCCATCATCTATTCAATGATTTTAATAATTTATATTGGATTGGCCCTCACCCAAACAGAAATTGGAAGAAATAAAGAAAGAAATAAATTGTTCGTGATTCGCATTGTTTATTTCTTTTGGCCGGCTCCTTGTGTCGAGAAGGCTTTTTGAATAACATGGCGCCTACCCACTACACTCCGGAACCGACCTAGCTTCTCTTCATCCCCTAGAAACTTGAGTTTTAAAACTGAGTTAATTAATTGAACTAATAATTTTGAGGTTTTTAATTTTTCACCTTATTAATTTTCTTCCAATATTTAAAGACAACGTTTAATCCAAAACTCTACCCTACAACTAATTTTATTGTTATTATTTTATTATTATTATTAGATTTAAAACTGTGCAAATGTCGTAGAGCAAAATATCTTGAGGTCTCTATTCGTACTAAAAAATCCGCTCAGGAACTGAAATTATTATTCTGCTAAGGACAGTTTTAGTATTTATTCCAGATTGAAAAAAATCTATAGCGAGCTATTTGACACTAGGCCCCTAACCGACATCGCCTACACTATATCTCAATCGCATCCTAAATCCGGAGGTTTTGTAACATTAAAATAAAAAAGATCCGAGGGATGTGGCTTTGGTAAACCCAAACTTTTTCTCAGATAAAGACTGATACGGCATAGGGACACTGTAACGCGTCATACGAAAATTGAAAAAGCTAAGTGAAACCGAAACTTTTAGAAAGAATGTCGTCAGACTAGAATATCCAAAAGTCCCGCCATGCGACCATCGGCGGAAAAAAGAAAATGGTGGCATTGTGTTTTGAAACAGTACATTATTACATGTATGTTAGATATATTTTTTTAAATGATTCATTAGAAACTTCAACAAGACAAAATGTTCAATCAGCAATGAACTAACAAATAAGTAAGAGAATTAGTTTATAGTTTATAATTTCAGTTCGGATATCAGATCGCAATAACCTCCATGGAAAATGATACCAGGACATCGGTGGTAAATTCCAGGCTGCAGGTCCATGGAAGTCGAAAATTGAGAGTAGTTGATGTCGGAGTCATACCCGAAGAAACCTCGGGGCACATTTGCGCACCAACGGTGATGGTGGCAGAAAAAGCGGCAAATAAAATTTAACACAATTGATGTTTTAAAAGATTTTCTTTTTGCTTGTGTCTGCAACGGCGGTTCATTCGAAAGATTTTTTATCAAACAAACCACAAAGAAACCTTGGGAAAAAATATTTGGAATTTGAGTGTAATTGCAACTCTGCTGCATAATAAAAATTCATTTTTCTAATAATTATGAAAATAAATTGTCTGGAGGGACAAACTAAGTTATTTAAAAGTTCTGTGAAACTAACTCGTCAGTAACTGAAACTAAACTTGAAAATAACAAATTTAAGAATTGCTCAAAATGCTCCTTGTTTACTCTCCACACGTTTACCTATCCATTTTACTATTTTCCGAAGAAATTGATCCTCTATCCCAATTAATTGGTATAAGTAGATTTTTTTTGCCAGAACTTGCTTACGCCGTTAGTAAAGTAGCATAGTTATTTATGATCCAGCAGGCTACTATTGCTAAAGTATTATAGTTATTTACGACCCAACAATTAGCGATAACGTCTAGATAACCTGTCGAGAACAAAAAATAGAAAGAACGCTCATTCATCATTTGCTAAATGCTAGTACATAAAACATACATTGGATGTACCACCTTTTACTTTTTTTCCACGAAATAAATCATGTAAGAACTAACGAAGCAATACATGATAAGAAATTTTTTACGCAAAATTTCAAATCCAAAAGTTTTGGTCAGTTCAGCAATGTGTTGGTACTAATCAAGAGGTCAATTCATTCTTATAAAAAAAAAAGGAAAAAAGTTAAAATTTTCCTGTAGCAAAGGCAACATATAAACAGAAAACAAAAAATGTTAAAAGTCAAAATTGGAATGGAGGTACTAATGGGGACGTTTTATGATAAGCGAACGCTTATAAGCTGGGCATTTTTAAAACATTCGCGGTTACTGTTGGTATAATTTATAATAATATTTGTAAACATGGGACATTTAAAAATAATGTGGGGATTTTTTTTGTTTATACCGGACATTTTACTTTGTAAGGGATTTGCCGACCATACGAATTTTGAAGAATTCGTGAAAATGGTAGAAAGGAATATTTCAGCTTCAAAAAAGTATGTTGGACCTACAGATAACAGCAAACTGGTCAACGTCACAAGCTCCACTTCATATGGTAAGTTTTATATTAACATTATGTTGAAAATCTCAAAACGTTCTATGAATTAATTTTAAATGAGCAAAACGAGATAGTAAAAATATTATTCGAACACTGCTACTGTCAATTTGTGGCTGTTACTTAGCGGGCTTGTACAAATAAAGAAGCTAAAGTGGATAGAGCATTCGCATCAGTGTTTTTTATGTGGCGATATTCCAACTAGGAAACATACACACTATTTTTAAACCAGACCTCTTTAGGATGTTGTTTCTTTACTTATTACCTTGTCGTGCTTTGTTGTTTTTAAATTTTTAATCATAAGTTATTTGTTACAAGTTTCTCGTTCACACTTCTTTCTTTTACATCCTCTGTGCATAAAATTTGGAATTCTTCAGCATATTTGATGGTATAATTTGTTAAGCACATCTCTTATGTAGATGGTTGTGCCCCTAGATCCAAACCAAATACAATCAAGCAGAAATCCTTTTTTTTTCACTATATCTTATACATACAACGTTCAAAAATCGGTTCCTCTATAATTTATATTACATTCCAAAATATTTTAGTTCGTTGTAAAACTTTACTGGATATAAGTTATTTTTTATGAATACTTTGACCATTTCAAATCGTTCAATTTTGGATTGTCATAATAATGTAGTGATATTCTGCAACTTTCTGAAAAAGGAAAACGTTTCCATTGAAGCTTTCCTCTCCAGAATCTTCAAATTATCGTTAGCATTTTTTGTAGTAATTATAATTTAAAATTATTTTAATTTTAAACACAGCCCCAGTAATATTTTGATGGCCATATTATTTACGCAACTAATTAGACATTTAAAAGCTTGGTTTCCCAAAAAAATATGCCCAAAAGATATCATCAGAAAGATAGTACTTACCCAACAAATCTAAGTTCACTACATCATGGCTATAAGTAGCGCTGTTTATAAGCAGGCCCGATATGTGACCGTTTCTAATTTCTGGGTGAACTTATTAATTTATTCATTAATTTCAGTTCAAAATGAACGACAATTTTTATTTCATTATTTCATATTCATTTTAAATTTTCTTGAACGAATTTGCATTCAACTGCGATACTTTATCTATTGCAGAGTTTGGAACATTCGATTTTATAATAATAGGGGCGGGAGCAGCAGGATCTGTTTTAGCTAACAGACTGACGGAAGTCAAGCAATGGACGGTTTTGCTTCTGGAAGCTGGTGGAAGCGACAACGAGTTTAGTGACATTTTAGGTTTTCAGGCTTATGTTTATAACTCGGACATGGACTGGGGCTACAATAGTACTACACAAAAAACGTGTTGTTTAGGTAAAAATTAAATCGTTCGAATTTGCTTTTATCGAGTAATAAAAAGGGACATTCCAAAGGCGGCATCAATCAGCAATGCAGATATCACAGAGGAAAAGTACGTGGAGGTTCGTCTACGATCAACGCAGCGATGTATGTTCGAGGGCATCCCGAAGACTACGGTAGATGGGAAGAGTTAGGAAATGCGGGATGGTCTTACAAAGATGTTCTTCCTTATTTCAAAAAGTCCGAAAAAGCAGTTTTTGCCCCCAGAATACAGAATTCCCATGGTGATAACGGGTATCTTTATGTCGATATCCCGCATTCAACGCCGGGATTTGTGAGTAGTCATTAAAATAGATTTTCACCAATTTCCTGTGAACGTCCAACTCGCTAATCCAAATAATAATTACGTCCCAAGGGGAGACAAGCAATTTTAACGGTATCCTTTCAAACATGAACTGTTCAAAAATAACCTTCAAGAACTTTTAAAATCTGTAATTTTTAAATGAGGAACATAACCGAGAGCCAATCAAACCAAACCACTTAAAAGATGCTAACGCAAAATTTATTTATTTTTTTACAGACTATTGGTGTTAAAAGGTTTCTTTCTCAAACTTCTAATATGATTTGCGAGATTTACATTTTAGGATCCCCTTATTTTTGGAGCGTTTGAAGAGCTGGGTCTACACAAAATAAACGATTACAATGGTGAATATGTGAACGGTATCAGTAAAACGCAATTCGCACTCAAGAAAAATAAAAGGTGTAGCACGTCTAGAGCATTTCTAGATACAATTCGAAACAGAAAAAATCTCGAAGTAAGTCTAAACAGCTTTGTTACGAAAATATCGATCGTCAACAAAACGGCACATGGAGTGGAGTTTGTGAAAGATGGCAAAGTTTATACAGCCAAAGCAAGAAAAGAAGTGATCTCATCAGCTGGTTCTGTAAACTCCCCACAAATTTTAATGCTGTCGGGGGTAGGGCCGCGGAAACATCTGGAAGATTTAAAAATTCCCGTGATCCAGGATTTGCCAGTTGGGCAAAATTCACAGGATCATCCGCTGTTTATGATGCTTCATTATAGGCAAATATGATGCTTTAAGAAAGCACGTTTACATGAGTGTTTTTTAGAACCAACACTACATTTTACAATCTCACCCTAAAAGAAGAATTAAAGCTCTACTTGCAAAATCAGAGGCCTCTAATTACCGGCCCTCATGAGACTGTTATTTTAATTAATTTTCAAAACTCTTCGCGTCGAGCCGATGTAGAAATGGCGCTGGGGTTCCCGGATCCAACGGGACCGACATTGACATCCATTTTTCAGTATGTATGAGCAGTTACACAACACAAGTAAAATTTAGAATGGGCATTGTTTTCAAATAAGTTTCATGTTTGCGTTGTTCGTTTGGTTTCGTTTTATGGGTTCATCCGAAAGTTCAATATTAAGGGAAAAGCTTACCGGTTTCAAATCTAAACACAAAACAAATTGCTCTGTTGACGGATATCACTCAAGAAACGTTCTTCTTCTTCTTCATATTAATTAAACAACCATTTCCCATCTCTGGCAGCATGAATTATCGATTGCATCTCGCTTATGCCCTTCCATTTCCTCATTTTCCGCAGCCACGACATCTTTTTCGGTCCCAATCCTCTTCTGCCATCTATCATGCCTTGTATGATTAAGTTGCAGGTACCTCTGACGTGACGAAGATAGTCTTTCTCTTCTTTGTAGAATTGAGGAGCTCGCGGTTCTTGTCGAGATGGTTAGAAACCTCCTTATTTGCCATCCTAGCCGTCCATGGGATCTTTATCCAGTTTATTCATCACATTTACTTCCAACGTCGAACATTAGATAACAATGATTACAATCTGACCAAAACTAACAATACTAAATATCCGTATTTAGCCGAGTGCCGATCATTCATTCATGATAGACATGATATTGAAGTTCCTGTGGAAGGTCTTAATTTTAATTAATTTAGTTTTAAATCCCCTATTTCAGATTTGACCCAATCTACAACGAACTACTCGACATCAGACCTCAAACTGACTTCATCGGCATCATATCCCAACTGCATCCGAAATCCAGAGGTTCTGTAACGTTAAAATCCAACGATCCGAGGGATATGCCATTAGTAAACCCAAATTTTTTCTCAGACGAAGATGGGTACGACATAGAGATGATGTACAGAGCAATACGAATATCGGAAAGATTAAGCGAAACCGAAACCTTTAAAAATAATGGTGCCACACTTGTATATCCAAAAGTGCCACCATGTGACAATCTACATGAGAGGAAGTCAAGAGAATGGTGGCATTGCGTTTTAAGACAATTCAACTGGGTAAATGTGATCCTGGCTACACCATATAAAATGGCAAATAAATATTTACAAAAGTATTCCCAAAAATTTACAAATTGTGAATCTTTTTTCAAACTTCAAGCAGGTGTTTGTCCGAAAATTTAATAACTAAATTTTAATTGCACTTTTTGTTAAATTAATTTTTTAAATGTCTTCCTGAATCCAAAATTTTTTGTTATTATTTTTAGTTGTTTCTAAAGACTATGTTACGTTATGTTAAATGATTATGTAATTGTTACAGTTTGGACATCAAATCGCAACAACCTCGATGGGAAACGATACAAGAACCTCTGTAGTAAATGCTAGGCTGCTGGTCCATGGGATTCGAAAACTGAGGGTGGTAGATGCTGGCGTCATACCCGAAGAAATTTCGGGTCACACCTATGCGCCAACGGTTATGGTGGCAGAAAAGGCTGCGGATTTAATTAAGGAAGATTTTCAAATCCGTTATAAATAGCTACATTCCAAAACTAATAAATTGATATACAAGAAAATTCATCAAATAAATCTAAATTCGATCGAAGGTGCGTTTAAAACAGGAATAAAGAAAACGCAACAAAGACCAAAAACTTTAAAGTTCCAAGGCTACTAACAATAAAGTCGTTAAAAACAATATATTATTAATTAATTTATATAATATAAAACTCCGTTCTTGGGGTAATAATTCAGGAACACGAAAAAGCGCTTTGAGCAAATAGCTACTTTAAAAATGTCCTATAAGAAGCTTATCTCCTTACTTATATATTCCTGACGCGAAGGATTGTTGAAGGGGTACCTAAATTAAAATGATGGCGGATATTTTTTTACTATTTATTTGACAACGAAAATCTTGAACAAAATTCAATCGACTCTCCCTGAATTTAAATAAAACGGAAAAAATTGTTACCAAAAACGGGTTGACAATTCCCTCCCACAAATCAATTCTGAGAATTTTAGTGTCAAATCAAAACCGATGTGTCATATACTGTTGTCAGCCTTTGTTGGTAAACCTAACCGTATTGTATGTTATCGTCCAAGAAGTATTATGTAGTATTTAATAAAAAAAAACAAAAACATTTAAACATATTAATCCCGTAAATATGGAGATGTCGCAAATAGCAAACAAACAGGAACAGGAAAACAGGAAACGTAATTATTAGAATAAATGATAAGCGAGGATCGAATTTTTTTAAAATGTCAAGCTTGCTGTCGATTTTCGAACAGACATTACATTGAACGCGTGTTTTATTCTACACTTATTTGAATAGGAGTTTCTTATTTTTATTGCAAAAGAATTTGTTTGCGACTTCTTTCCTCATTCCAGAGTAATGTCGGAGAGATTGTTGTTAATATTGGCTATTTTAATAACCAACGGATTTACTCAGTAAACCAATTTTAATCAATTCGTTGACTCTTTAGAAAAAAATATTTCAGCTTCAGAGAAATATATTAAACCTACAGATAACAGCAAACTAGTTCACGTAACTGACTTCAATACATATGGTAAGTTCTATATTTAAATTTATTGTGCACAAATACCTTTTATTATTATTATAATTGAATTTGCGATTTTTCATCCGCTAGTAGGAAAAATATTTCATTCCCCAATGAATCGAATACTAAATTTGTAAATAACTTAGTTCTTGATTTTCTTTTCACTGTTAAAATTAGTGACAATCAGTTTCAATCAGACCATCTTCCATCGTCCTTGGAGTTATATTAATCAATTGCTTCTATTTGTATTAAATTTATATGTAAGCTATTCCTTAAATTTCCAAATCAAGTGCTAGTTTCCCATTTACATACACGCGATCGTTAGGTATTTGCCAAATCATAATTCTGATATAAGATATTCTACGCAGTGCAGAAATTAATCCTCATGCTATGTACGTAGATCGATCTTAGAATAAAATACCAATGAATTATAATGTTAATGGTAATTTTATTTTAAAGGGTAACTCAAATAAACTCAACTTCAATGCAAAAGCTAAGCGAGCATTACTTAGCTTAATTAATATATAGATAAACTTTCCAATTTTATGTACAAGTACAAAATGCAATACAATTTCGTCCAATATGTATCCATTTAAATTTTTTTTTGGAGAGATCGCATAATATCGCGACTTTTTATCTATTTCAGAATTCGGAATATTCGATTTTATCATAATAGGGGCGGGACCAGCCAGATCTGTTCCGGCGAACAGACTGACGGAAGTGGAACAATGGACGGTTTTGCTACTAGAGGCTGGTGGGAGCAATAACACGTTTAGTGACGTTTTAGGTTTTCAGAGTTATCTTTATAACTTAGATATGGACTGGGGCTATAATAGTACTACACAAAAAACGTGTTGTTTAAGTAAAAATTTAATCGTTCGAATTTAGTAATAAAGCCGGCATTAATCAGCAATGCAGATATAATAGAGGAAAGGTACGTGGAGGTTCGTCTACGATCAATGCAGCGATGTATGTTCGAGGGCATCCCGAAGACCACGATAGATGGGAAGAGTTAGGAAATGCGGGATGATCTTGCAAAGATGTTTTTCCTTATTTCAAAAAGTCCGAGAAAGCCGTTTTCGAGCCCAGAATACGGGATTCCCATGGTGATAATGGGAATCTTTTTGTCGATATCCCGCCTTCAAGTCCAGGATTTGTCAGTAGTCATTAAAATATAAATTATACAATTTCTTGTGAATCTACTATTAATCACTAGGCCAAAATTGTTGTTTTGGTTTTATCTAGTCAATAAAAAAATCTAAAGCTTTTCAAGCGCAGAGATAAGACAATATACAAAAATTCCTACAATTTTTTTTAAATCCCATCCTTTAGCCAACTCAAAAACTTTGATTTCCTGCCTTTTTTGCATCCTATATGTGATAAGCTAAAGGAATATTAAAATGAAGGTATTTTTGCCTAACTAAATATTTTTTATAGAAAAAAGCATTTATTATATGACCACAGCAATTGGCCAAACAATTTAAGACTTTCTAATTATTTCTAACATATTTCTTAAAATTAGCATTTTTTTCTTAAACTCCTAATACTATTTAGCTAATACTGCCCTAAATCAGATAAATTTCTATTTATTTTTGGTTTTGTATTATAATATAAAATAAATTTTAGGACTCCCTAATTTTTGGAGCCTTTGAAGAGCTAGGTCTACACAAAATAAATGACTACAATGGTGAACATGTGAACGGTGTCAGTAAAACGCAATTCACACTCAACGAAAATAAAAGGTGTAGCGCCTCTAGAGCGTTTCTAGATTCAATCCAGGTTTTAGGTAAAATTTTATTTAGGCTTCGACATTGTCGGAACAGATTGGATTAGTATTTTGTAGAACCAACATTACTTTTTACAATCTTACTCTTAGAGAACAACTAAAACTGTACCCGAAAAATGAGAGACCCTTAATTACCGGTCCTCAGGAGACCGTTGCTTTCATTAATTTTCAAAATTCTAAGCGTAGACCAGACGTGGAAATGTCATTTGGTCTTCCAGCCTCAACGAAACAGGAATTTACATCCATCTGGCAGCAAGTATAAAGCTAATACCTACATATATACCCTGCAAACTTTCAAGAAAATGTCAGTATTATGTTAAAATGTTCATAAGATTGGTACAAAATCTCAGAATGCACTTTTTTCAGTTCTTGATCTAATCAAAACCCACATTTTACGGTGACTATTTATGGCTTTGCGTATTACCACTATAATAACCTCATCTTGATTCGTCTTTTCTGTGTTTTTCGAGCTCAAGCGAATACATATTGAAAAAATCCTACTAAATTTTAAGAAATTCCGGAATTTTTTAATATTGTTTAGGTTAATTCCACATCTGAAAATTCAAACTTCAAACGGCAATTTTCGATAACATAACGTATTTTCTTTGTGGGACATGCCATGTAACTAGTAATATTTCGATTTATAGCATACTAAACGATTTTAAAAATTACAACATAAGCTATGTTACCTCTTGAAAAAAATGCGATTTCACAATTGTAAGTAGTAAAGATCCCTTTCAAAATTTTGGAATTTTTAAAAATACAAAATATGTGACGATTTTCTCCTAATTCAGAATCGCCCGGTAGCTGGAAAACAAGGTGATGTATCACGAGAAGTTTGTCATATTCAAACTCAAAAATGAACCCCGGAAAATCTCTACTCGTCTACCGATATATGCTGGGAAATATTCCAAACCATCAAATCCTAACGAAATTGGCCCGCTTTATTCATTAGATTATGGGTGTGTCCCTAATAATAGAATGCATTGCCGTTGTCTCATAGCAAATTTTTATTTTCATTTTGCTAAAATCCCTCATTCTGATCGAGCCTAAAAATTTAAAAAAAAAATAAAAAGATTTACGAAAAATAATAAACGGAAATTTAATGACAAAAATTAAGAGTCTGGATCTTGAAACTTATTCTGCATTAAGTTTGGCAGTACGTGCTATACTGGGTAAATGTGAATTTTTGCAATAAGCGATCAACTTTTTTTGTTTCATTTCAGACTAGAGAAAATTTACAATGAACTACTCGATATCCGACGACCTGCAACTGACTTCACTAGCGTCATATCTCAATTTCATCCGAAATCCAGGGGTTCTGTAACATTAAAATCAAACGATCCTAGAGATATGCCCTCAATAAATCCAATTTTTTTCTCAGATGAAGAAGGGTACGATATAGAGACGATGTATGGTGCAATACAAATATTAGAAAGACTAAGTGAAACCGAAACATTTCAAAAGAATGGCGTGACTCTAATATATCAAAAAGTGCCACCATGTGACAATCTACATAAAAAGAAGTCAAGAGAATGGTGGCATTGCGTGTTGAGACAATTCAACTGGGTAAATGTGTGATCTTTTCGACAGATTTTCAGATTTTTCTCACGTAATATTTCCAACTTGACATGCATAGATTTTAAGACTTTATTCGCGATTTATTTAAAAGGAAAAGCCTACGCAAAAGTTATATTACCTTCAAATTCGAACTTTAAGGGTATTACAAAGGGGTTTCAAAAATTTACAAATCAAACACCACGATTATTTTATAGCTCTTATACTACAGGAAAAAATTCAAACAGGTGTCTCTTTCTCAACATTTAGGTAAATATAAATTGACTAATGTTTCGCAATTACAACAACGAACAATCTGTAAATTCTAGGTCGAGTTTTTGGTGTACTTAATTCTAGAAAACGAACAGTGTCTTGTTTACTAAAGTGACGTAAGAAAATAAACAAAAAGAGATATTAAAACACACACACACACACACACACACATACAATAATAATGTAGTTTGTATTAATAATTTATGTATTTATATATTTATTTAACGGATTAACCAGTTTAAAAGCAATAAGTAATGTGTTTAGCTCTATGTTATTTAAAAGGGCTGCGAAATAATACAAACCAATCAAAATTTTCTATTGTTATTTGAAAATCCGATCCTAATCACATTGTAATCAATGTGTTAAAAAAATGCCCTCTGAACTACATCAATGTTATTTATACGACAAGGGGACATAATGCATACTAAATTTAATGCTTAAAAAACGTAAACCTGTTTTAAGCAAACTTAAGTGAATTGGTTACTGTTACGCATCATAAAAACAAGGTTTCGCATTGCTCTATTCATATTAAATATCTGCAAGTTACTATGACATTTTTTGAGGTTTATGTAACAGGTTGGACATCAAATCGCAACAACAACCTACATGGGAAACGATACGAGAACATCGGTGGTAAATTCTCGACTGCAGGTCCATGGGATTCGAAAATTGAGGGTAGTTGATGCCGGAGTTATACCCGAAGAAATCTCCGGTCACACTTACGCGCCAACGGTGATGGTGGCAGAAAGGGCTGCACATTTTATTAAGGAAGATTTTCAAAATTAAATAAATAGCTACATTTCTAAACTAATAAATTGATATACAATTTAATTTTAAGTCTCTATTAATAATTTATCAAATAAGTTTGAATTCGGCTTTTGGTTCGATCGAAGGAGCATTTATCACTGAAAAAAAAGAAACAAAGAACGGAACCTTGAAATTGCCAAGGATAATAAATAACAAGTTCGTCAAAACCAATATATTATTAATTAACTTTTGTTTATAATTTAAAGAAAAAGCGGCCACGACAACCATACCATCTGTTTTTTAACTTCCAACGAAAAAATTTAACACTTTTGCCTTTACAAATCTAATTTCACTCGCGGAAGGGTGGGCCAATTTTGAATAAAAAAGTCACCCCGAATTTACAAATGATTCATAAATTGTTACCAAAAATGATGTACCAATTTCCACCGATCAATTTTGGCAATTTCAGTGTCAAATCGGTGGTTAAACTTCTCACTATACTGTATATTAATCGTCGGAGAATTCTTGTTTGATGTAATACTGAATTTAATAAAAAAACAACATCAGCATCTACACATATTATTCCTTTAAATAGACAAATTCCGCAAATCGCAAAATCAACAGAAAGCAGAAACATGCCTGCTTAGCTGAGTTTATTTTAATTGATTGTGGTAGGAAGAAACATTAAATTATTAAGTTTGCTGACCGAACTGCAAATTAAGTAGAAGATCTTAAGGAAATATATTTTTATTTAGTAATATACACATATATATCTTTATTACTTTGAGATATTATGTCAGTAATAAATAAATACCAAAACCAACAACTCTGACTAAAAAAAAAGCATTCACTAATCATGAGGTTTGCCTCCTCAATAACAACAATAAATAAATTTAGACAGACGGAAGAAAAAATTCAGGGAACCATTAATTGCGGCACTGAAAATAATATCTTTCAATTATCAGTTAATGGTAATAATTTTGTTACTTAAAGTAAGGTGACGATAAAAAAATTCGACAATGGCAGCGGCAATCGTTCACCTAATGCGTCACGGTCAACGGTTCAAACGGCTTCACTCGAACGGAATGGTTCTTTTTTTGGCAAGAACAAAAGCAAAACAAACGAAATAACAAAATTTACCTATAGCAAAGATAACATACAAGCATAAGGTAAAAACTTTAGAATTCATGATAAGCGAGGATTTATAATGCTGGATTTTTTTAAAGCTTCAAGCTTGCTGTCCATTTCTCGAACCAGCATTACGTTCTACGCTTGCGTTTCTTTCTGTTAGACTTATTTACGATATGACTAACTTATCGTTATTGTAAAAGTTGTTGGTAAAGTGCTGCAAGAGTACTGCCATTCCAAAATAATTACTCTTCATTCCTTTGAAATAGATGAACGTGAGGTGTTTCATAATAATGCGAGAAGATTTGTTGTTAATATTGCTTATTTCAATAACCAACGGATTTACTCACTATACCGACTTTAATGAATTCGTTGAATCAGTAGAAAGAAATATTTCAGCTTCAGAGAAATATATTCGTCCTACAGATAACAGCAAACTGATTCATGTCACTGACTCCAACATATATGGTAAGTTCTATATTCAATTTTAATATGCACAAATTGACCTTTTATTGTTATTTAATTGAATCAAATGGCAGACTTGTAGATATTAAGTTCTTGATTTTTTTTAACAGGGTGTCTCCTATCATCCTTGAAGATATTTCAATCCACTCCACTGCTCCACCTTGGCTATTTCCCTTCAGTGGTTCTATAATTATATTAGCTATTTCTTGACGGTACAAATCATCTACTCTTCCCCGTTTACATACTCAAGCTGCCACAAGTTCATTGATGGTTTTCCAGAAAATGCTAATTCTATTCTACTATTGTTATTAAATTGCAAATCATCTGCTATTTCTCGGTCTACATACACACAGTCTATAAATAATATATTATTCGATGCAATCCAGAAATTGATCTTCCAGCTATGTAGATATGTCGGTACTATAGTAGTACTAAATTGAGTTTTGATACAAATGCTAATTTTAAAGTAAATACCTTTAGTTAAATACTACTACGATATTCTATCCTATGGATATAATCTTCGACAGGAAAGCTGGGCGTGCAATGCTTCGCAATATTCGGCGCATTTCTGATTTCTAGATAAAATTCCTAACTATACAGATAAAAAATTAAAGACAATTTCGTGTAATGCGTATTCATTGTAACTTTTATTGGGGGAGTTTGCATAATATCGCGAGCCTTTATCTATTTCAGAATTTGGAACATTCGATTTTATCATAATAGGGGCGGGAGCAGCCGGATCTGTTCTGGCGAACAGACTGACGGAAGTGGAACAATGGACGGTTTTGCTACTGGAGGCTGGTGGGAGCGATAACGCGTTTAGTGACGTTTTAGGTTTTCAGAGTTATCTATATAACTCGGACATGAACTGGCGCTACAATAGTACTACACAAAAAACGTGTTGTTTAGGTAAAAATTAAATCGTTCGAATTTGTTTTTATCGAGTAATAAAAAGGGACATTCCAAAGGCGGCATCAATCAGCAATGCAGATATCACAGAGGGAAAGTACGTGGAGGTTCGTCTACCATCAACGCAGCGATGTATGTTCGAGGGCATCCCGAAGATTACGATAGATGGGAAGAGTTAGGAAATGCGGGATGGTCTTACAAAGATGTTCTTCCTTATTTCAAAAAGTCCGAAAAAGCCGTTTTCACTCCCAGAGTACAGGATTCCCATGGCGATAACGGGTATCTTTTTGTCGATATCCCGCCTCCAACGCCGGGATTTGTAAGTGGTCATTAAAATATAACTTAAACGATTGTTAAAATTTGTTGTTGGTTACTGCGTTAGTCGTTACATTTGGCTAAAGTGTATTCGGGAGTAATATTAACCAAAGAAATTTTAAACACAGGATGAAACACAATATACACAAATACTTACAAAGAATTTTTATAATCGCACCCAGTGGGCAACCAAACAATCACTTTAATCAACCTTTTCTTGCGTCCTATGCATGTATTTGTTCATTAACTAAAATGTAGATTTTTACCAAAGCATTTGAACCATTCCGGGAAAGAAATTTGTGTAACAAATTATTCTTAATATATCTCTTTGAAGTTTTTCTTTAACTCCGTAGAATTTCTGACAAATTTCTTTATTTTTTGTTTCGCTCTCCAATATAAAAAAATATCAGTTAATTACGCTTACATTTTAGGATCCGCTCATTTTTGGAGCGTTCGAAGAGCTAGGTCTACCCAAAATAAATGATTACAATGGTGAGCATGTGAACGGTGTCAGTAAAACGCAATTCACACTCAAGAAAAATAAAAGGTGTAGCACCTCTAGAGCATTTCTAGATCCAATCCAGCACAGAAAAAATCTTAATGTGAGTCTCAACAGTTTCGTTACCAAAATATCAATCATCAACAAAACGGCACATGGAGTGGAGTTTGTTAAAAATGGCAGGCTGTATACTGCGAAAGCAAGAAAAGAAGTGATATCATCAGCAGGCGCCGCAAACTCCCCACAAATTTTAATGCTTTCGGGAATAGGACCGCGTAAGCACCTGCAAGATTTAAAAGTTCCCGTGATCCAGGATTTGCCAGTTGGACAAAATTCACAAGACCATCCCTTGTATACGATGCTTTATTTTAGGTAAAATATATTTTAGGCATTGTCAGAACAGATTGGATTGATATTTTGTAGAACGAACACTACATTTTACAATATTACTCTAAGAGAAAAACTAATATTATACCAGAAAAATCAGAGGCCGCTAATTACCGGCCCTCATGAAACTGTTATTTTTATTAATTTACAAAATTCTACGCATAGACCAGACGTCGAAATCGTACTTGGCTTCCAAGCCCCAACAGAAGAGCAATTGACATCCATCTGGCAGTAAGTATAAAGCTACATACATATATACACCACACACTTTCAAACAATATCAAGATTACATGTAATAATAATTCCCAGAAAATCAATATTATGTCACACGCCAAACAAACCATCTCAATGCGAATATACGAGTCAATTTAGTTAAGTTTTAATTAATTGCATATATATCAAAATATTCCCTACTCGATTTTTGAGAAAACTTCAAGTATCATTCTGAGTCGTTTATTTTTTTTAACTGAAATGAATACATATTGAAAAAAACTTCTTGTTTTCTTTTTTTCCAAAAATTTTATGTTGTTTTGTTTTTTAATTTTAATCTTATTTCCGTTAAATTTGTTAGTCATGTTTTCATTTTTAGTATATTTTATGTTTTAACAAATTATAGTATAAGCTATGTTTAAACTTAAAACATAATTGAAATTTGACATTTGCATTTCAACTAGCGAATTCATCCTGAGAAATATTAAAAAATCAACCCATTGAAATAGGAACTAATAACGACCTCCAATTCTTAGATATTCTTATCAATAGAAAATCAGACCTAACATTGAGTCATTGTGTGTACAGAAAACCTACGCACACAGATCGATACCTTCATGCATTGTCACATCACCACCGGTCCCACAAATCATCGGTTATCAACTCTCTTGTTTACAGAGCCGCACAACTATTTCAACCCGAGTCATTAAACCCAGAATTAAAACACCGTGCCTCTGCTCTTCTCTGTAATAATTTTCACATTAAAGATATTAAGCGTTCTATCACAAAATACACTTCACCACAACCTTCCAATAGCAATGAAACCGAAAGCAAACCCACACTTGCCACTGCTATCCTTCCTTATATTCAGAATATCACTGACCACATATCAAAGGTTCTAAAGAAATATAACGTCAAAACCAGATTTACCACTCGTCCAAAAATCTCTCAACATCTTCGATCCGTCAAAGACAAAATTCCATTTGAGATGCCAGGAGTTTACAGCATATGCATATGCGGCAAAGAATACATTTTAGAGACCGGACGAAAAATATCAACTAGGCTCAAAGAACATGAAAGAGTCTTAAGACTAAGACAAATAAACTCATGAGCAGTTACCGAACACAACCACGAAACCGGAAAAAAAATTTATTCGGTAAAACTAAAATTCTTGCATGTAATCAATTCTTCTACCAACGAAAAATCCAAGAGTCTATAGAAATCTATAAGCGACCTAAGAATCTTAACCGCGACTCAGATCTCTACCGGACTCAACAAAAATCGACGCAGGAGTCAGGAGGAATCCAAAAATTTTATAAAAAATATTACAGTAGCCCGTGGAAGTTTCTTTGAAAAATTAAAATCAATCCCCTTCAAAAATTCACAATTTTCAGAAATATAAAATGTATGAGAATTTTTTACAAATTTACCCTGTAGCTCGCAAAATTGAGCTCCGAACGAAATTGGCCAGTCCCGTACATTATCGTTCCGATGTGTCGTGTTCATCCCTCATAAAATATCGCCTACCGCTATCCCATGGTAAATTTTTATGTTGCTAAAGGCATATGTTGTGAAACATAGAAATTTATTGAAAAAAATACCGGAACCTGGATCTTGAAACTATTCAATATTAAGTTCGACATTAAATGCCTAAATGTAAATTTTCCAGCTTTCGTATTTATTCCAGATTAGACACATTCTACAACGAACTACTCGACATCAGACCTCAAACTGACTTTATTGGCTTCATATCCCAACTACATCCGAAATCCAGAGGATCTGTAACATTAAAATCAACTGATCCGAGGGATATGCCCTTAATAAATCCAAATTTTTTCTCAGATGAAGATGGGTACGATATAGAGACGATGTATGGTGCAATACAAATATTAGAAAGACTAAGTGAAACCGAAACATTTCAAAATAATGATGTCAGGCTTGTATATCCAAAAGTGCCACCATGTGACAATCTACATGAGAGGAAGTCAAAACAATGGTGGCATTGCGTTTTGAGACAATTCAACTGGGTAAATGTGCGATCTTTTCGATAGATTTTCAGATTTTTCGCACGTAATATTACCAATTTGACATCAGCGAGTTTAGAAAAAATAAACATAGTCAATTTCAAGAACCAAAAAAATCCTTTCCGTTTTATAAAAGACAATCGTCAACTTAGAACAAAAGGGTTGTACAATTTTTTAAAATTGATATATTCTGTCATTTGCATATTTAAGAAAAACGAACAATATGTGTACAGTATGTGTAGCTATTACTAGGAAACGAACTGTTGGTAAACGTGTTTTGATCTACATATCTACAATGAATATCAAAATTATATATATATATATATATATATATATATATATATATATATATATATATATATATATATATATATATATATATATATATATATGATGACATTATATTCCGGGATATCATCCATTCGCTTGTTGAACTCCGACTGGAATCCTGCAGACGTTTCGCCACTCGGAGCGCGAGCATTGAAGATGCCAAGTGAGATTTTGGCGAAACGTCAGCAGGATTCCAGTCGGAGTGTCATCACATTTTTCCATCCGTGAATCAATACGTGAAAATATATATATATATATATATATATATATATATATATATATATATATATATATATATATATATATATATATATATATATATATATATATATATATATATATATATATATATATATATATATATATATATATATATATATATATATATATATATATATATATATATATATATATATATATATATATATATATATATATACATATATGATGACACTATATTCCGGGATATCATCCGTTCGCTCGTTGAACTCCGACTGGAATCCTGCAAATCCTGCATCCGACTGGAATCCTGCAGACGTTTCGCCAAAATCTCACTTGGCATCTTCAATGCTCGCGCTCCGAAAACACTTCGAACACTCGTCACATCACATTTTTCCATCCATATATATATATATATATATATATATATATATATATATTATATATATATATATATATATATATATATATATATATATATATATATATATATATATACAGTGTGTCCAAGATAAGGATGCACAGCATGGGGATCTCGGAAACTATAAGAGATACAGTGTCGGTTAAATTAGACAAAAGTTGCGCATTTTGATACCGAACAAGATCCCGTTTTACAAATTTGAAAATTCCAAGCCGTTCCGGAAATATCCGAGAAAAACCGAAATATTGCGATTTCGTTTTTATTATTTTTTAAAGCTATTTGAAAAGATATGAAAAAACGGAAAACATTTTTCCATTGGCACTTTTTAATCTCTCCAAATTGACGTTAACAAATTTTCATTACAGCGTTTCGATTCCATGGAACCACCATCAACTTTGATTTTTCTTATGGGACGGAAAAAAAGTACACACAGTATTAGGTTGTGCTTTTCATTGCGAATTCAACGATGTACGATACAATACGGTTACTTATGTTTTTATCCAGAAAAATGGATTTTTAATACATTTCAGCATTTAAATGGAGTAGGCCATGACAAAATGACATCCAGTCAATTTCAATGACACATTAATGTTATTTGTCTTTGTTATCAGTCGATCATAAGTTTATTCCTTTAGTTATTGTTTTTGTATTTTTATTGTTGTTGTCTTTTTCTAATTTATTTTGTTCTACAATGGAGGGAGGTAATTTTACAAACGAAGAAAAATGTGATATGCTGTCTTGCTACATCTGATGCCAAAGAAATTGTGTGGAAGCCGAGCGTATGTATTCTAACAAATACCCAGAGCGGAGACAACCTGACAAGAGTTTTTTCGGCGTTTGTTATTTAATCTGAAAGAATATGGATCATTTAAGAAGCCTGCATTATCCCGACAAAAACCTTCCAATGAAGAAAACCAATACATTGTTCTACAATCTGTTATCGAAAATCCACAAACTTCTACCAGAGAAATTGAAGACCAGAATGGGGTAGCTAAATCTACAGCTCAGTTTATTTTAAGGAAAAATGAATTTAAGCCTTACAAATTCAGAATATGTCAAGGATTAAAACCGGGTGACGACGAACGACGTAGACATTTTTGTGAGTGGTATACCAGGATGTGTGATGAGAGTTTTAATTTTCCATATAAAGTGATTTGGTCTGATGAAAGTATGGTGACCAATAACGGTATTTATAACAGGCGCAATACACACTATTGGTCGCAACAAAATCCACGTGTTAATAGACTATCCAGACATCAAGTTCGCTTTGGGTTTAATATTTGGTGTGGGATTTTTGGTAGCAAGATTATAGGCCCTATTTTCTATAATAATTCCTTAACTTCCGAGCGGTACCTTGACATCTTGAGGCACGATTTAGAAGATGCCTTAGATGATTTACCGCTAGGCGCTGTGCAAGGCTGCTGGTTCCAACAAGATGGTGCCCCAGCCCATAACTCCAGAAAAGTTCGCCAATATTTAACTGAACGGTTTGATGGAAAATACATTGGGACTTACAGTGAAACACCTTGGCCTCCAAGGTCCCCGGACTTAACTCCCTTGGACTTTTTCTTATGGGGCTACATAAAAAATGAGGTATTCAAAGAATGTTTTGACAACGAGGAACAATTACGTCAATTAGTACGAGCAGCGTTTAATAAAATTACTCCTGAAATGTTAAGTCGTGTTTTGGAGTCTACCGTGAGACGGGCGTACTTATGCCTAGAAAATGGAGGTCATTTATTCGAACATTTGTTATAGAATTTGTTTTTCATTAACTTGTTGGATTTAGTTGTTATGTTAAATGAACAGTTAGAGTTAGTAAATAAATAAACACATTAACTCGAACTTGTCAACCATTTTCTTTTGCCTTTCATCGTTCGGATCTCATGGCCTACTACAATAAAATACTAGAAATGTATTAAAAAGCCATTTTTCTGGATAAAAACATAAGTAACCGTATTGTATCGTACATCGTTGAATTCGCAATGAAAAGCACAACCTAATACTGTGTGTACTTTTTTTCCGTCCCATAAGAAAAATCAAAGTTGATGGTGGTTCCATGGAATCGAAACGCTGTAATGAAAATTTGTTAACGTCAATTTGGAGAGATTAAAAAGTGCCAATGGAAAAGTGTTTTCCGTTTTTTCATATCTTTTCAAATAGCTTTAAAAAATAATAAAAACGAAATCGCAATATTTCGGTTTTTCTCGGATATTTCCGGAACGGCTTGGAATTTTCAAATTTGTAAAACGGGATCTTGTTCGGTATCAAAATGCGCAACTTTCGTCTAATTTAACCGACACTGTATCTCTTATAGTTTCCGAGATCCCCATGCTGTGCATCCTTATCTTGGACACACTGTATATATATATATATATATATATATATATATATATATATATATATATATATATATATATATATATATATATATATATTAGTTAGTTACAGTTCGTGTTAATATTTTTTTTATTTTTATATTTATTTTACGGATAAACTAGTTTACAAGCAATATGTAATGAACAAGTAAAAAGTAAACAAGATGAAACTAGCAGCAAAGATATAACAATAAAAAATAAAAATAACAATCTTACCTTTCTTTTATTTTTCAAAGAAACTCCCAAAGGCTACTGCAATACTATTTACAAATTCTTCTGGATTCCGCCTTATGTTAAGCTTTGAAAAAACCAACAGGATCATTGCCAAAACGTCCGCAAGTTCGAGTGGAGATTTGTGAATAGTAAACAATCTTCCCATACTCCAAACTAACATTATTATGCCTTCTATAAACTGTGTTTAGCTGTATGTTCATTAATAGGACTGGGTAAAGAATACACACTGTTCAAAATTTGGAATGGAGTTGTAAAAGCGTAAAACTTTGTTAAAAAATGTTAATTTCCAAGCTAAAGATATTAAAAACGCTTTCTGAACAGCTTCATTAGAAATAAGTAAATGTATGTTACAGTTTGCGCATCAAGTCGCAACAACTTCCATGGGAAACGATACCAGAACATCGGTGGTAAATTCTCGACTGCAGGTCCATGGGATTCAAAATTTGAGGGTAGTTGATGCTGGGGTTATCCCGGAGGAGATCTCGGGTCACACCTATGCGCCAACGATTATGGTGGCAGAAAAGGCGGCGGATTTTATTAAGGAATATTTTCAATGTTAAAAGTAGCTACAAATAAAGGTTTTCTGAAATAATATAAATAATTAATCGAATAAAACAAAACCTAAAATTTGGCAAAATTATTCGGAATTTGGCAATATGGAATCTTGAAACGTTATTTATTAATTTTTATAATTGATACGAGACGAAGACAAAAATGTTCCATAAAAGTTTACCTTCCCTGCATACTTTCATTTTTCTTAGACATGCCGTAGGAAAGCCTTTAATAAAAATAAAATGGCCTGCGACAAACATCGTCACCGTTTTTTTTGCAATTTACAAAAATATTTATAAAAACAAAACCTTGAAAAAAATACACACAATTCATTCTATTCTCTCATCTCGCACTAATTTAACAACCCTCTTGAAACGTGACCCAAAAAATAACCTCGAACCAACATAAATAATATGCCAAGATATTTTTTCTGTTATAATAATGCATCCGTTTGTAATGAATGATTTATTTTAGTTAGCGACCGTCAACTTTTGGAACATATATACGACTGGATTAAAGAACGGGTAAAAAAACGAAAAAAAGTGAAATATTATCACTAACGGTTTGCTTAATTTATGGAATAGATAATAAAATAAAACGATAACTTTTATTTACCATATTCCACAGATATGTTAAGGCACTGTAAAATAAAAACAAAGCAAAGATATGTCTATTTTAATAAATAGAGCATAATTGGAGAAAGAAGGGAATGCGAAAAAATTACTTTACTGGAATAGACGTATAAAATCGTATTCAAACGTTCAAATAGAAGGAAGGGAAAAATACAATTAAAAAAAATTCGATCACTTAGAAAACTACTAAAAACGTGTTGCTTATGTTAGCATAGTATACATCAAACTTTGGGCTTTTGTAGGGTATAATGAATCTTGGGTCTTATCATATTATAGGGCATGGAATTTATTTGCTATAGTTTTTAGGTACTAAAACTAAATAGAGCTTAAATTTCAAAATATTAGAATAATTTTTAAGAAATTCTAGGACCAATTATTTTATATGATTGTCCAATGCATGCCAAATTTGATTTTCCAATATCGGCTCGGAAATCAGTGCGTATATGAATTTGAAATATTGAAACTTCAAATCCCTGACATGTATTCCTTAATAACAAAAAATAAATAAATAAATGCTATATTAAAAATATACCTAACAGGGGTCGCTTTATATACTCTATGTTTTCACTACAGTACAAAAACAAATGCAATTCTCCAGCGTAATCACGGTTGGCTACGAACAATCTGAATTCGCCCATAGTCATAAAAATCTCGCTTTCATTTCAGGGATTGCTCCGATTATAAAGTTTAAATTCATTTTCCGAAGAAATATTCCAACAAGTTTGGAACTTGATTATCATAAAAAAGCCAACGTTACCTGCGACGGAGAAATATGACACCGACATCAGACAAATACGAAAGGAAAGAAACTTGAGTTAATTATATAAAAAGTTGAGATAAAAATTGAAAAGAATATCTGGTTGCGAAAACTTCATTTTATTTCGCATCTGTTAAGAATCGAGTTCCTACGTCATTCATGTCCTGCCATGCCAACTAAATGATTATCGTTTTTTATATTTCCTACTCTAAAATACCCAACTACACTTGTCAAGCTTGCCAAGAACGTCACTTTAATAGGTCAGCTTCGTTAGCCATGGTCGCGAGTTACTTCTGACATTTCCACCACTTTAGCTCGTTTAGTAAGCACTAATACGTCTCGTGCAAAATAAACTCGTGACTAAAGCTAAATACCAGACAATATGATATCATGGATAATAAAGAGAGTTCCTTTCTTTTTGAAGAGGTGATAAATTAGTAAATCATAGAGTTTTATTTCTAACGCGTCACAGGAAAAGTTTATTACAATATACAAGTTGCTTTAAAAATGAAAGCCCAATACCTTCAGGTGCCGTGGAAGGGCACCCGGGCCATGCTTTTACAAATAAACTTTGATTTTCAGTATAACTAAAGCAGAAAGAGTTGAAATCCATATCAGTTGCGGTTTCAGACCAGGGCATGTTATAAATATTTGTTTGTACGAAAAGCTTTATACTGGCCACAGCAGTTCCAAATACCGGAGCGTCACCGTCACGCCAAATAAAGTATATACAAAATAACTTTAATATTAAATTACGCGTGAGTTTTTACTTTGAAATGTCCACTACGTTGTGCCGTTTACTTTCAACGTAGATTAATTAAATAGACCTAAGCTCCGTCGCATTCTAAACGTCATGTCATTGCCTTTGTTAAATTAAAATTCGCGTCCACTAGTAAATTAATGAAGTTTTAAGGACGCGAGAATTATTTAATCATTACATTATTAATTTTGTCTCCCGCCTGTCCAATAAATATTAAATTTCATATGCATGCGGATTTAATTACCCCGTTTTAACATGTTCCGCATATTCAAATACGAAATAATATTAAATTTATCTACGAGATTTCATTTTTCGTTTTATAACGCAATAATCCAGAACGGCATTGTTGAATTAAAATCTGACGCTTCGAAGTACGAAATATGGTCGTTGCGCTTATTGTATGCGGTAAACCATGTGTCAAACCACCTTTTATTTTTATTCTCAACGTGAATATTTGCAATGTTAACCCTATTTTGACCCTATACTGGCCAAAATATATTCGGAATTCGCGGAAATGGATAAAAAATACAAAACAATCAAATTATCAATGGACATCCTTATCAGATCAACTGTCGACTTGTAAAGGGTGATTCAGTAAGGGTTTCCACATTTTAGATTAGTGTATTACAATTAGGTATGAAAGATGATGTCATTGAAATGACCCCCGCGACTCATGTGGCATGACGTAATTCGTTTATTGACATTTCCTATCACTATTGGACACAATTCAGGTTCTATGCCGGCTATTTCGCGTCTAATCTCCTGTTTCAGCTCTGGAATAGTGTTTGGTTTATTTCTATACACTCTGCTTTTTAGATACCCCAAAATATATATATATATATATATATATATATAGGGGAGTAAGATCACATGATCGCGGCGACCAATTGATATCGCCGTTACGTGAGATAATCCGACCAGAAAACTTGCCCCGCCGCAATTGCATCGTTTCTCTGGATGTGTGACAAGTGGCTCCCTCCTGTTGGAACCACAAATCTTCAATGTCCATACCTTCCAATTGCTCCCAGAAAAAATAAGATATCATGTTTCAATAGTGAACACCATTAACCGTAACAGCATTATCCTCGAAAAAAAAAAGGGCCAATTATTCCTCCGCACCAAAATGCGCACCAAACAGTTACTTTTTGAGGATGCATTGCTTTTTGAACAATCTCTCTTGGATTTTCTAATCCCCAAATACGAGCATTGTGTTTGTTTACAAAGTCACCAACGTGAGAATGTGCCTCATCGCTAAAGATGATTTTCCTTGAAAATAGAACCCCTTCTTCTCGTATCCATTCCGCAAACACGCGGCGCTGTTGATAATCTCGAGGTTTCAACAGTTATTTGGACTTTATATGGGTGCAGATGCAAGTCTTTTGTTAAAATTCGCTCTGTGGTTGAATACGTAAGGCCCACTTGCTGCGATCGATGACGAATCGATGTGTTTGGATCTTCGACTACACTTGCGCGAACAATGGCAGTATTTTGATCTTACTGACCTGCACGAGCACGTTGAGGGACTTTGAGGTTAGTTATAGATCCAGTTTGCTCAAATTTTTGAACCACATTCCTCTCAGAAGGTCGATTTTGCGAGCCGAAAAATTCACGTAGGGCCCGAAATGCATTTTTTTCTTGATCGACCATTTTCATAATAGGCTTGCACAATTTTTACACGTTGTTCAGTCGTATATTGCTCTATGACTAATTTTGTTTATGTTTTGAGGTTAGAAATCTTACGATAATAAACAAATACAGTGGCGTTTCAAAAATATTTCAGATTGTAATGTGGAAACCCTTATTGAATCACCCGTTATATCTAGAACTATAACTTATTATCGATCAGGCTGTATATCTGATAGTTTTGAAGTGTAAACTAATAGTTGTTAGTGTGATTAGTCTTTGTTCCAGAAATCCCGCATTGCTTAAAGAAAGGATGTCGAGTTGAGTATACAACTATTAAGTAAATAATAATTTGTTATTATTACTTTATTCAGTAAGTTTGATAAACATCATGTTAATCAAGAGTTTGATTTAACACATGCGAAAGGAGTGCATAATACATCAGGAACTCAAGATGTTTATTAATTTTTGGGTACATTTACTGAAAAACATTAAATCTACCGAAAACATCCGATAGACCCCAAACCTCTGACTCATGTACCGCAAAAGTCTAAATATAATTGGGCATTATAGAGGAGGGAGAAGAAAAACTAATAAGATGATCGTTCTTTCAAATATAATTAGCTGATATATCAAAGTAAAGAAATAAAGATGTCTAGTTCTAGAAACTCTTTCTCTTATTCATTGCCTGTCACATTCGCCACAAAACATATCAAACGCCCAGCGTTATAGGGAAGAACCAGCGAGCATACGCACTGAATAGGAATATTACGAAATGCAAACAGTAGCCTTAAAATAAATGAAACTAGTGTTGCGAGAAAGAGATAGCACCCTTATTTCGCAAATGACGAAAAATAACGTCCTTGGCCCTATTTTCTGACGCAGGCCGCCCGAGTTAATTACGACATATATCTTCAATACGAAGCTTCGAACTTTTATTTTAAATCACCGACAGTTTATTAGTTAATTACAATTAAATTAATTTCTTAATTAAATTATAATTTAATTTATTAATTAAAATTGAAATTTATACCAACTTGGAAATCAGTATTGCCAATATTCTCTTTGGTTTGCTCTGGCACACAAAGAGTGTCTCATAAATAAAGTCAAAGCTGCACAAAACAAACGCCTTCAAATACAAAGTTGACGTTTAATTAAGCTACGACTGACTAAAATTTACGAAATATTGCAACAAAACTTTGGTGAATCGACCGGCAAAAAATCCAAATTCCGCTAATGAACG